GTATAAAGTTTCCCAAGAGCCCCCTTGAGTTTTTTCTACTCTTCTGTAGGATCCAGTAGAATATTTTCAAGTTCCAAGCACAAGAATTATAATGTGTGTGTTGTTGGGTTTTTTTTTAATCCCAAAAAACGTACGAGTTAGCGTAGAGAAAAATGTTGGATAGGTGTCGTTGGGGAGAATGGTAAGTGTGTCGGCTGCTGAGAGAGTGAAGCCAGCAGAAAAGCAAATTGCTCCCCCCCCCCCAGGAACTGAAAGACTTTTCTACAGTGCTGTCACAAGAGCGAGGCCATTGTGGGTTGGGTGGTGAGATTTAAGAATAATAATCATGTGCCGTCAAGTCAGTTCGGAGTGATGACCACCTTTTTCATGCTTTTCAAGGCAGAGAGTGGTCAGAAGTGGTTTCTTCTTCCTTTCTTCTTCTGGGGGCACCCTTGGACCATTGCGCCACTTTGGCCCAAGGCCACCCAGGCTGGCTCTTCTGAGATGCACAGCGGGGGGATCGAACTCCCAACTTTGGACTCCACAGCCAGAGACCTAAACCACTGAGCTCTCCAGCCAGCTTGCAGAGGATGTATTTATTTATTTATTTATTTATTTAATTTATATCCCGCCTATCTGAATCACATAGGACCACTCTAGGCGGATGTGAAAAATGTCCTGCTGAAAGGGTGCAAACTTACCTGTTGTTCTCAGCTGTCGGAAAGCCACGAGCCAGCCAGCCTGGCGCCTGTGTCCGGCCTCCAGCGGCCGCTCCCCAGGCAGAAGGAAAGACCAAACAGGCGGGCTCACGATGGCCCTTCCAGTCTGGCTGCTCCATCCTCTGGCTCAGGTGTGCCTCTCCCTCCCTATACCATTCTCATAGGAAGCTCCAGCGCCAGAGATGGCTCCGTCTCGCTCAAAAACGGGAGAGGGAGAAACGGAAGAGACAAGATATCGGACCGTTGCTTGCAGGCAGCAGCTGCAAGAATCGGGGAGTTCTGGGGGTCAGTGGGTCCTCATCTGGTCCCCTTGCTCCATCCTCTGGCTCAGGTGTGCCTCTCCCTCCCTATACCATTCTCATAGGAAGCTCCAGCGCCAGAGATGGCTCCGTCTCGCTCAAAAACGGGAGAGGGAGAAACGGAAGAGACAAGATATCGGACCGTTGCTTGCAGGCAGCAGCTGCAAGAATCGGGGAGTTCTGGGGGTCAGTGGGTCCTCACCTGGTCCCCTCGACATTAAAAGGAGTGTCTGAGGACGATGAGGTTTTGGTCCTGTCGCCCTTTGGAGCTGGCTATGCCGTCCCCCCCACCTGGCTCCAGGATTTGGGCGGAGGTGTCGCACAGATGGGGGAGGGAGTCGGTGATCCGGATGACCCTGGCATCTTAACCCATTGTGGGAGAGAGTGTTTTCTGAAGTGCGCTTCAGGCATGAAAGCCGGGGTCAGAAGAAAACATGGCAGGAGGCCACGCATAGAGAGCTTTCCCCAGCATCGATGGGACAGGGAGGGAGCCCTGAGTCGGAGCGACAAGAGAGCGTCAGGGCGCTGGGACGAAAAACAGAGCAGGATCCTGAAGGGGAAGGCTGAGGAGCGTGAGATTTGATCGGAAGGACCAGAAGCTTGATAGCTGTGGCGGAAGTCCCAGGTGGGAAGCGCAGTATCTCCAGTTTCAAAAGCAAGACTCATGGGCAGATGATGGAAAGAGGTGGGCAGATGATGGAAAGAGGAGGCAGGGCATCTGTTTCCACCGACAGCAAAGAAGAGCTTCTGGATTATGGGGGAAACCCTGGTGGTTTTCCTCCAAAAAAAAAAACCCAACACCTCCTGATTCCTTCTGTGGTATCTTCTAAACATCCACTTTAGCTTCTGAGAAACGTCCTCCTAAAATATTTATTGCCCATTCCTCTTCTGAAAGGTGGACTTTGGGCCCAGTGGTGGGGATGGGGCAACTTCACATCACACAGTCCGGTTGTGTCTTCCCCTCCAGCTCCTGGTGTGACTTTTGGAGCAGAAAAGACACACACACACACACACCCCTCTCTTGTGGGCTGGGGTAGTGCTGTGGTTGTAACAAGTGCGCCATGACTTGCCCCCAGGCTTTATGGAAGGTCAGCAGTCCCAGCCTCATCTGCTTGCAGCAAGACGGGTGCAAGGAGCTTCCAGAAATCTGCGCCACGCTTTGGACTCTTCCATTACAAGGCGGTTTTGAGAAAGTCTGAAGGATGCTTTAACCCTCATGCATGAGGATTAAAAAACAAAACATTGCACTGAGTGAGAAGTGGGGCTTTTTTTATTGTCTAACAACTCCAGTTTATTGAAGGATAGCATTAGGGTTAAGCGCTGCATTGCCTTTAGCAAAAGCGTTTCAGGAACCTGTATTGTCTACCACTTCCCAAGGAGGATTCTCGCTGAGAAACCCACCAAATGGCCCTGAATGGCCACGTATTATTCTGTGTCTGCAGAAAAAGGTGGTGGTGAGGAAAGGGGTCAAACATCTGTCATTTACACCCGGCTGAAGCCGAGAGGTTTTTCTAAGCGGGGTAAGGCAAACGTGTCCCAGAATTCCTACTATGAACATCTAATTCTGTGAGAAGTGAGGGGAAAAATCTCTCCTGGTGCGTGACAGTTGAAATTTAGAGAATTGCTTTTACTGCACTTGTCTTGCTGCAAACAGCTGGTTCTTTTTTTAAAAAAACCTACTGTTATAACACCGTTATCTGACTGTCGTGGCGTCCAGAATACAATATACCGCTATTTTACTAGTGAATCCTTTGGCCTCTGTCAGCTTCGGGTGACGGGCAGAATCTACTTCCTCTCCCCGACATGCAAGTGTGGGGTTTTTTTTTAAGTCTACAAAGCATGTATGATATGACCACAGAACCTGCCACTACTTGTATATCCGCTTTTTTTTTCTTAAGGAGCTTACAATAAACCAAATGTTCATATATCCGAATGCAATCTCAAGTTGGACCCCAGTGGTATATCCTTCACGGAGGCAGCTGGGCACCAGGTGTGCCAGGAGCAGAGAAACGGCCAGTTTTACATCTCCGATTACGCCGGGCGAAATTGAGCAGGTCAGCCCGAGAGGGCAGCCACCTTCGTGGAAGCCAAGGGTCCTTGGTTGGCCCTTGGCGCTGAGAGCAGGGCATGCTCGCGGGCATCGGGTGAGGGAAAGCCCACTCTCGCCAGTCCTTGCCCTTGACCCCCTTCCACCACCCCCCAGGACCTTCGCCCTCTGTCTCTCCGTAGGCTTCCTCTGGAGAGCCGTTCCTCCTCTTTAGCCCCTTTTCCAGAGCGTCAGTCACACGAGGCGTTCTGTGACATGAGGGTCCCTACCGGTCAAGCTGGAACTGACTGGTAGCGACTCAGCGAGGGCTTTTAAGGTCTGCAAGACTGGGAAGGACTGGCCTTACCAGTTCCACTCCTCCGTCCATAGTGACTGGAGCATCGTCTTCTTTAGAACCCCCAACTTCTGGCTCCGCAGCGAGAGGCCTAAAGCGCAAAGCTAGCCGGCACCCCCAACTTCTGGCTCCGCAGCCAGAGAGGCCTAAAGCGCAGAGCTAGCCGGCGGCTCACAGAATCAGGGAATGGGGACGCAAATCACTTGCTGTAAAGTCAGACTTCAGTCGTACTGACAACTCGATGGGTTTTTTTCTTTTTCAATGCCACGGACTCAACTCGTGACTCAGAACCTGCCCACCCCTCCCTTTTCTTTGGGGGAAAAAAAGCTTGTTTGGGGTAGGGACTCAAGAGTTGGGGCTCGGGATTCAAGGCTGGGACCCACAGCCTTGCCAGCTGACTATTCATCGTGGGCAGGTGCTCCCTCTCCAGGAGAGGAGGCAGGACGGCTCCCAGAGCCCACTGCCAGGAATGACAGCAGGAAAGGCGTAGGAAGAAGCCCTTGCTTCCCACCCATTTGGCCGCTGCAGAAACCCAATGCTCAACGGAAAGAGGCCTCAAGATGGATCCAACACTGCCCGTCTTATGATCCTAAGACATCTGAAGAAATTGATCAAACCCTGCATACTTTGGGCTAAACAAGATCCTGGCTTTTCTCCACATCCGTGGCTTGCTGCAACTTTGGCTTTCTCGGTCTGAGCAGAAAATTCAGAATTTGGCAGAAAAAAAGTTATTTCTTCACAGGATGTGCGAGTAAGGGCGGGATTCGCTGTCAAAAAGATGTGTGGTCTTTCTGGAAAAACCTTAGGGGAGGGGCTGTGTGGAGAGCAGCCGGACACAAAAACAGAGATCAAAGTTTAAGCGAGGTAAGGCTGACGGGACAGGCAAGCTCACACAGGCAAAGATGCACAGAGACATAAGGGATGTAAACAGTTTTATTAAGACACCACTTTATCTGTAGGTTGTACATTGTATAAAACTCCATTTATGCTCTACCAAAAAATTCCTCTAAAGACAGGCCGTGAAGGGCTTTAGAGGACGTGGTTCCATTTCTTTTGCCACCAGTTTGATATTTGCTTTAATAATGAGACAATTGTGCAAGGAGGAACACACCAGGCTATTTAAAAAATAATCAGACACACAGTGCAGGAAATCTCCATCTAGACCAAACTCTTCATTGGCAGCTGGCTTTCCCCATACCTTTCCTACAGGTAGAGGGTTTTTGCAGAGCAGAGCCCTGAAATTTCGGCTCACAAGTGTGAAGAAGCACAGCGATGGGCACCAACCCCTCCCCACAAACACCAGCATCAACAGCAGTCGTGTGCTTGTGCAAAGTTCACAAGATCCTTCCCTCCCAACTTCCAAATCTGCAGTTCAAACTTAGTGAGGACTACCCGAACCTCCACAACACTTGATCAGTGTGGAAGCTGAGGCGGCCGTTCCATTTTAGACCTGCTTTTAGTGTTTTACCAAGCTGTTGGGCAGCCCAAAGCAGCTGCAGGTCCCCATGTTTCCGTCACCCGTTCAAGTCTTCACGACGGACAGAGAGCAATGCTCCCTTTCGTGAGCTTCCTGCTTCTCTTCTGCAATGCTTTTGTGGAGACCCAAAGGGGAGAATCGGCTCTTCTGGATCTCCCAACTCCACTCATATGTAGTTCCTGTCCTTGAAGGATGGTTTTCTGAACAAGACGCTCTCTACTGGTTCATGCCCAACATAAAGCTATGCTTGGGAGGCCCCAACAGCTGCACTCCACCCTGGTTCTATAGAATCACGGCTAGAAGGGTCGGGTTTGGTTTTTACTGTTATGAAAACCGCCCACTGTCAAAATTTAGCAAGGATAGTACTTTGGACTTTCAATCCACGAAACCTTCAGGGTTCCAAGGAAACGGAACAGCTCACAATTGTTAAGCTAGCAGGGTTTTTTGCTGTTGTTCTTTTAAAGAGGAACTGGCTTTCTACATTCGGAGTAAATGTGGAAAGGCATTTTAAGGGTGTAAGCCGCTGGAAAAAGCACCTCTCCTGAGTCTCATTGAGAGAAAAAGAAGAACACAGATGAAACTGAACTGCCACAGGCTGGGGAGGGGGGAGCAATACCAGCTAGGCTGAGCTGAACCCCCAAAACCTACGAAGAAAACATCTGGCTGAAATCAACGGAACACCTCCACACCCTCTCGGCTGAGCACAAGGCAGGCTGAATGTCTATGCAAACTGGCAATGAAAATATGAGCACAGAAGAAAGACCAGTCACCATCTAAGCTATTTTTCACTCAAATAATGCGGCTTAAAGATGAAATCAGAGCCAATGAAATGACACCCTGTGAACAAGAGTGAAGTCATGGTTTTCTTTCAGAGGTAAGAGTAAGGTCCTCCCTGACAGGCTAAGCAACAAGGTCTTAAAATCCGACAGAGATGTGGAATACTTGTAGAAAAGGTATTTAATACTGAACTGCTGCTCCTTGATCAACCAGGCTCCTTAAAAGGAAGAACTGTCCTTTCTGCATGATGACTAGGGGCGTGATTTGTGCCAGGATTCCCTTCAGATGAGAAACCTTTTCTTAAAAAAAAAATTTAAAGATAAAGGCACTTGGAAACTGCAGGATTTCCAGATGTGTTTAATTGCTGCATTGGTCTGGCCCTCAGCATTCAAAACACATTTGCTCAGTCTTATAGGACAAATTCTTGATGCATCAAGAAGAGAGACCTGAGCCCCACCTTCACCCTTTTGACTTCAAAGGACCCCATGCAAGCAGCAAACCTCAAATCTGGAATGGCCTTCACAGCATACAGCATCCCAAGAAAATGCCCTGAACAGGGGAGATCACAGAAAGATTGGCAACATCTCCCCAGTTCCCATACAAAAGGATCTCAGAACAGGAAGGGGTGTTTTAATGCCATGGCCAAGCCAGGCAGCAGAAGCTTCCAGGGTCTAACCCCTGGCTGAAGCAGATGCCATTTCTCCAGAGGGCCGGTCGGCTGTGGGAGACAGGTATGGAGGAGAAAGGCCAAGCATTTAAAAGGATAACAGGACGAGGCTGAACCGAAACAATACGCCCACTAAATCCTCAGCTAGGCTGCTCGGCGAAACTCAAAACACTGCAGCTTTCTCTTGCTTTCCCCCTTCTTCTTGGCCCTCCTTGTTCTCTGGCATTTCGCTACGGAATTCTGTAGCTCAGTACACAGGATATTTTTTTAATTAAAAAAAAAGGTGAGGAAGTCACACAACGGGGAAGCTAGTGCTGTTTTCTAGGGCTATCGTTTCAGGGCAGATATTCTTCATTTCACGCGGAACAAAAATAATACAAAAATAAATGGAACATGTTAGACATAAAAACATGCAAATCTATAAAAACAACAACAAAAAAATGTGGTGACTGAAAGTTGGTTTTCAGAACATGGAGCTCCCATCCTTGTGGGACTGAAAAAATAAAGCAAAGATGGGAGAGATTTCTGCCGCTGGCCCCCCCCCATGTTGTTGCCTGAAACGGTCAGTCTCTGTAGTGAGAGTTTCTTGCGTTATTCCGAAACAGTAGAAAATAATTTCTTTTCTCTTTTTTCCTTTTTCTTAAGAAAGGCGGTTCTCTGGTTTAGAACTCATCGTGCCGTACTAACGCTTCGCCAAAGTCTGTCGCCTGGCTGCCCACAAACAGGTCGTACTTGTCCACAATTTCCTCTTTGGTGAGTTTGCCATCCTAAGGGAAGAAGAGAGGAGAGATCCGAGATGAAGGCTCGGAAAGCCCATGCCTCTGGCCAAGGGCTCCCTCCTCCCCTGCTTCCACTCTGGGAAGGGGCCCAGGGCCTGGTTTCCCACCCAAGAACCCACTATGGACCTCTGCAGGGGGGTATTGGGAGGAAATCGCAGCAAGAAGTGGCCAGCATTCCACTTTCAGTTCTGTGTCTAGAAGAGAGACAGGGGACATGGGACGGCAGTGGTCTTCTTCACACACAAAATCCCAGCTCCCTTTTAGCTGAGCCCCGTTTTTCCCTCCTGGAGCAGGGCATCTGGGGGCCATCAAATCAAGAGGGGGGCGGTTGTGGTCCACAGACCTGATTCTGTTATAATCTAAGACTAACGCGTGGGACGTGTCACTTCCGGCTCTCCTGCAACTGCCGATCTAGGGTGCAAACCACCACCCAATTTCCCAAAACAAGCCTTGCTGAGAGTAGCAAAGCTGGGCCCTTGTGGTAGCTCTTGTGTTTCAACAGGAAGGACACAGGAATTCTTGGCAGATTTAAAAAAAAAACAAATTGGACCGCCAGTCTGTTAGGTACATGATGCCTGGAGCATCATACCACCACGGTTATAAGGCACATCACGTAGCAAAGGGCTGGAATTCAATACGAGGCCCTGGCCAAGAGGGCAAAGGGCAGGAACCCTCCAGCAAGACACGAAGGTGCCCTTATCCAGGCGGCCCAAACGCTGGAGACCACCCGGCAGGAACCACTTCTGCCCTGGGGAAGTTCAAGGGAAAAGGAGGGGCTGACTCTAGGGCCACCCGGGAAGGGGTTCCCCCCCCAAGGTATGCTGGCCTCTGGGACGCCCCCTCCCTGTGGCCAACAGTCCTTTCGCCCTGCACCAGCTGACCTTGTTCTGATCAGACTCGTACACAAGGTGCCGTGCTTCTGCCTCGGCGTGATCGTAATCCGAGGGGAGGATCCAGTCCTTGGTCTCCTCCTTGTCCATCTTCCCGTCACGGTTCTTGTCCCGGAACTCTACGAATTGTTCCCGCTCGGTCTTCACCCACTCTGGTTCTTCGGCATCACCGTTGTGGCTGTACATATCCCCTGTGGAAAGACAGGATGACGCCTCAGGACAGGCCTGCATTCCCCCCCCCACACACAAAATGCACCTGAACCGTTTCATCTGATTCAGTCAACTCAGTGAAACTTTTGAGCAACCCTGTTGGTCAGGGGCTCAGCACAGAGCAGTGGCAAAACAAAACTCAACTAAATTAAGTAAAGCAGAGCAGAACAAAACAAACAGAGGAATAACCAGGTTGCAGAGTGACCGAAAAGTGAGCACTCGGGGAAAAGAAGAGGAGAGGGGAAAAGAGGCCCAACGCTCACCTATGTACTCCTCCAGGTCGATGAAGCCATCCCCATTCTTGTCAATGTCTTCCATGGTTTCCTGTTCAAAAAAATCAGGAGGAGCATCACAGGTTACTCTTGCGCTTTGGTAAACCCCAGAACCATGACATGGGTGGCATAAGAGTTGCTTCCAGGGGCAGGTAATGACTTAATAATTTTTTTTTAAAGGATGAAAACTACAGCAAATCAAAGCTTACAAGGGCCCGTAAGGGCCATGCAGACTCGGGACAGGAAGCCCTGCCCCCTACTCCCTTCCCAGCACTTCACCGTGACACCTGGAGACCCAGAGAGATGGCCTTTGCCGCTGCTCTGCAAACCCAGACCCCCTCCTCTCCAGGCCAAGACTTATTTCGGAGGGAATGCCAGGGCCATCTGTCTGAGAAGCCTTCTGCAGCCGCGGCTGAGCAGAGAAGGAGCCCTGTCACACAGAAACGCTTTATCCGCTCCCCTGGTGTAAGGAACAGTCTCGCACCTCTAAGGCTCAGGATCACGGCCCTCACCTGCACGACGATGTCCTTCATATAGTCGTACTCCTCAGGATGCAAGAAAGCCGTGAACTCTTCCTTGGTAGCAATCAGGTCCCCGTCTTTGTCTGCCATTTTGAACCTCCGCTCATCTCTCATCATCATCTGTTTATAATTGAAGCCATCGTCTGGATCGGGGTCATCTGAAGAGCAGGAAAAAGGCTGAATTGGTTGAGGGCCCAGCAGGCTGGAGGCCAGAGCGCTGGGCACCCACATGGACTGAAACTCAAGGAAGACACCCTTCCTGGAGGGAGGTGGAGGGGGGAAAAGACACATCCATCGACTGACCGTCGCTCGGAGGCCTCCTTTGCCGGCCCTGCGGTGGCGTGGAGTGCCTGGCACGCCCGCCTCTACAGAAAGCAGGAGGAGGTGCCACTCTTCCTCACCAAACCTTTAAGCGGCAAAGTGAGGCAGGGACCCTTCAAACCAGGGCCTCAGGATCCTCACCACTTCACCACCTCCAAGGGTGAGGGGAAGGCTGCGGAAACTTTGGGCGCTGTGTTCAAAGGGCAGCTGGAGTGCTTTAGCCACATGATTCAGCAGACCCTAATTCTTGGCCTGGCTCCCCAGGAAGTGCTCCCATTCTGGAAACATTTTAATCACAGCCATGGCTTGGTCCCATGAGGGTGCTTCCTGACAGTGTCCTTCCTAGCGCTACAAGGCGGCATGCTCACGGAGCATCTTCTCTCCTCCTTCCTCCTTCCCAATCCAGCAATTTAAATAAGAAGGAGTGGGAAGACACAACAGGCACAGAAGGGAAGATCCCTTCCTCATTCCCTCACCTTCCAGCATAAAATCCAGAGTCTCAGGCTGGACAACTGCTGGGTAAAACCTTCAAAATGGAAATACCCTCAGATAACTAAGCTTTCATCTGTGTACCCAGAGGAAAACTGAATCGCCGCACAGGAGGCCAACCAAACCATGCTGCAATGCAAGGGGAGGAACAGCCTTTTACCAGCTCAAATTCTCCAGAGTCAAAAGCGCAAACTAAGCAGGAATGTTTGTCCGCAATTGACTCAAGGCTTTCCACGGTGGCACCAGGAATCCTGCTCTACGGGTTTCTTCCTTCTGGAAAGCCTCCCTTCTTTACAGCGTGAAGCACACCGCCTTTTTGCATGCGCCTCCTTGAACACAAAGACCGTGACAGCACATGACATTTCTATTTCTAGCTCCCCTCACCTGAAAGCACCCACTCAGAACATAGCAGGCCAAGCACCACTACGGTGCTAAAGAACATCATTTCTGCTGAAAGGCAAAGTAGCCATTACCCAGAGCTTGGAAAAGTCTTTCTTCTAGACTACAACTTCCACAACCCTCTGCTAGCACTGGCCACACTGGCCAGGGGATTCTGGACATTGTGATCCCAAATAGGGAGTCTTTCCCAACACAGCAGGTAACACACGGCACAGCAAAGAGGGGCACACAAAGGGGTGGGTGGCAGGTCAGCACTAGGCTCACAAAGTTACGTCCCCAAGTGGCCCTGCCAGCTTTTTTTTTAAATCAAGTTGCACAGGTGGAGGAGGAAAATGTGTGTCTCTTGGCATGTAGTTGCGGAAAAAGCTCCCACACGGGTAATATGTGCCCATGCCTGGAAGACAAGGAAGGGCCACAGCTGCTCCACCCCCCTCCGCCTTCAAAAGGACCCTGTAGGAAGCACACTCCTTTTCAAGCTCACCCTGCAATCTCCGATCCTCCCAAATTTCAACACAGGGTGTTTCTCACCACCAAAGCTTTAGCTACTGAGAGGGTTCCATGTTTACTAGGATGTGTTATCCTCTATGCTGCTTGGAAAATTAAGCAGCCCTAGGAAGTCTGCCGCACTGCAAAAGGTTTTCCTTCCTCTGCAGCACAAGCGCTCCGAAGGGGGACTTCCAGATCTATCCGACTCAAAACTCCCATAATGTTGGGGCCAGGTTGTAGCCCCACCCTTCCGGAGGGCACCCAGTCAGGGAAGAACATCCTAATCAAAGACCTCAGGGAATGCCGACACAAGAGGAAAGGGCAGATGGCCATGAAGCAATTATTACGCATAAAACTGTGCTCAGACTATTGTAGGAAGGTTGATCCAAGCATCAATAAAGCAGAGGTATTATCTGACATCCCCATTCAAAGTTCACGCTTTTGGGAGATTCTTCTGAATCACTGACAGAAATTTGAAGCAGTCCATGTGAACACAGAACAACGGTGTCCTCCTTCGGAAGGGGAAACAGCTTGGTGTTCTCTGAACACGGGTGGGTAAGCCACATCCCACCCACCCCCCGCCCTGGACTGCAGACCTTAAGGGACGAGAGGCCCTCTGCTTTCTGCTTTATTGGGAGGAGGAGGTTTCTCCGACCAACCTGCCCCTTACCCAGATAAGTGCCATAGGTCACGTTTCTGTACTCATTCCAGGAGATTAAGCCATCTTGATTCATGTCATACTCCTGCCACTGGTGTGCGACACTGTCATACACGTACTTCTTCTGCGCCTTCTTAATCCAGGCCTTCAGCTCCCCCTCGGTCACAAACCCATCCTTATCCGAGTCTATTTTATTTACAATCATTCTACAAGACAAAACAGCAGGTTTCAAGGAACCGGGTCGGCCAAGAGCAGAGACCTACCTAAGATGTAGCCGTACGTGGCATTTTTATACTCCTCCCAGGAAATGAGCCCGTCCTCGTTGAGGTCGTGCCCCTTCCACTGGCGCTCTACATCCTCGTAAATCCAGCGCTTTTGGGCAAACTTAATCCAGGCCTTTAGTTCTTCAGCAGTTACAAACCCGTCCTTGTCTTCATCTATTTTACTTACAATTTTTCTGCAGGAAACGTAGAAAAAGCCAGCGAGAGTTAAAAGAATCAAAGACCTGAGCCAAACCCGTGGGTGGGTGGGTGCATTTGGGGCAGGGACTGATGTGCCACGCAGGCTGCTGAAGAAGCAGGGATCAGAGTCCCTGGTGGCAGCCCCCCCAAAAAACAAGGAGCCACTCTTTTGGTTGTTGTGGGTTTTTCGGGTTCTTTGGCTGTGTTCTGAAGGTTGTTCTTCCTAAAAAGCCACTCTTTTACCTGCTTCTGGGTTAGCAGGGAACAGGTGGCATTTAACCAACAAAAGCTGCCCTAGAAGATACAGCATTTGCCTTGTCTTCCAGGCAGCTCTGTACCAAAGACAGCTGATAGGGAACAAACTCTGCAACACAGTCCTCACTGCCCTGATATTACCCAAAGGTGTTTTTTGAACGCCACAGAGACAGTGGCCCAGATCCTGCAAGAAATAAGCCATCACTTGGGGCAGTTCATCAGAGGCAACTCTTACCCACTGTCCTGGTTTCTGGAGTTATGACATAAGGAAAGCCACAGAAAGCTACGGGGGGGGGGTCCCTGTGGTTTCCTATGGGCACCTGCTTCAGGGAGGGGTTTTGACTCTTGAATCAGAACTGCTACTGAGATTTAGCGCAAATTCCCTGAGACAATCTTCACCAGGAGGTGAGAAGGAGAGAAAGAGGAAAGTGTTGTTACCTTGGAGTAACTGAAAAGCCATCTAGAAATGGGTGGGTGGGTGAATATGACTGGATTTTAGTTCACCATTTAGTTGGTCTTGTCCAATCCAGTCAGTCAGAGCCTTTATTGGCATAAACAAAGAAACAAAATCACATATACGGGATAACAATTAACTGAATCTCCAAATTCGTTGTGTCTCAGTCCGCGGCTCCTTACTATCTGGTTCAGAAAGGCCATGTTCTCCACTCTAACCGACTCTCCTGTTGACAAAACCTCCGGGTGTCACAACTCAAACTGCCCCCCTCCTTTAACAAAAATGGGTCTGGATATTTTCTGCGGAAATCTGGACAGAAAGGACAATACAAAATCATGTGGGAAGGTGGTTCCACCCCACCCAGCTTGCAGGAGCAGCTGCCTCTCGCTATATGGAATCCTACTGCTACTCCCCTACCACACTGCCGATGGCATGGCACGGCATGGCATCTAGCAAGAGTAAAGGCCCTGCATTTCTGGGGGTATTTTGGCAGGACAGATACCGCGGTGGCAGTTGTCAAGCAAGCTCTTTGCCAGCATTCAGTCAAGACTCTTCTACTGGTCTAAGTGGTTTTTTTCTCTGGAGTGTGAGGTTCCTTCCCTTGCCATGTGATCCATGATGTTTTGAGGTACCCTTTCCCTCCCCGTCACTATTTGCTCGCATCAGAACACAGTGGAGAAGACTCCACTTACAAGGAAAAGGCAGACAACATGGCATTCCTTGGCAAGAGGCACCTTCTGGCCTGCCTGACGCTCCTGCTCCTATCACTGCCACAGCAGCAGAAGACAGAGGCAGGCTACCTGGGGCAGAGTCTGCGTCCAGCTGGCAGGCAGACAGGCAGGCTGGCAAGCTCAGAGTCGCCTATGATACAACAGGGAGAGCACTCTCTGGCTCAGATTTCTGCTACATCTGCCCTGAGGGGGCCCCTTGTATCCCTGGGCGTGCAACTATGTCTGGAAGCTTCTGCTATCAGCCCTTCTTGTGGCCCCAGCTGTAGAAGCACTGCAGCAGCTGCCAGCAGAGCAGGGACACAGCATGATGCTTTCATGAACAAGGGCATCAGTTCAAATCCTGTCATAGATCCAGGCAGAGCTGAAGAAGACCCTTTCTTAAAACCTTGCAGCACTGCTGCCAGTCATGAGCCCCAGGGCAGAGAGGTAAATGGCCTGACCCTGTGTATGGCTGCTTCCCCTGGGCTGACGTACTCACACCTGCCAAACAGTTACGAGGCTTTCGTTCCAATTCAAGGAGGAAGGGACTCGGCCTGACTATGTCACTGGATAAGCAAGAATAGCAAGAGCTGCCCATGTCATGAAGGACTCTGATTCTCAGACACATTGTTTTCCTAATGGCCAAGGAGACCGTCCCTGCCAGAAACTCAGAAAAGCTGGGTGCTGGCGTTTTGCTCCAGAGGCCAATCTGTACAAGGGAGGGTCCCACGCCTGGATCAGCAGAAGCCTCAAAAAGCACAGCCCAAAATAACCACAGCTGTCACGGCTGTTACTTGACACTCGGCCACAGATTGTCTGGGTGCCCAAAGGTGCGGGTGGGGCAGTGTTTCCCACCGCCAACCGAGAGCCACTAGGGCCTTGTCAAGGTCATGGCTGTGTCGTAGAGCTAATGTGAACAAAGTCAACAAAGCAGAAGACAATAATTTATTAGCATGTTTTTTCTCAGTACAGTATGAAGCTGAACACTGAAGGGTGGTTTTTTTTACCCTGTATCAGTTAAACTGAGCAAATTGCCCAAACTTCTCAGCAGGTGCTTGAATTTTATGCCAGTTAACAGCTTCATGGGCCTGTTCATAGGATGCGGAGCACGCATGCATGCACACACACCAACTGCAGTGAAACCAAGAGACCCTAAACTCGAAATGTGCTGGCCCCTGAACTCACTAAATCATACTTCTTGGTAAGCATGGACACTGTTGGGTGGCAACAGCCTGTCTAAACTGCAGCTGGACAACTGGTGTCCAAGGCCGAGCATTCCCATTAACTCCAGCCAGCACAGCCAAGAGGGACAGAGGGTTATGCAAGCTGCAGTCAAAGAACACCAAGGGGCCCAGCATTGCCCACCCTGGTCTCAAGACAAGCGTGCCAGCTTTAGCTCGCTTATGCAACGGGAGCAGCTTCTGGGGTCAGGATATGCTCCTTTAATAATTCCACTGCAGATGCAGAGTACTGTACTCTCCAACATGGGAGTGAGGGGTGGGGGTTGGAATCTGGCAACCCTCTGGGCTGCGGGTGAGACAAACATGGGTGACTGTGGGGCCAGGATTTTCAGGCAAGATTTTGGCTACTGAACAGACGGTTTTAAAAAGAAGCTTTTAATTGGGAAGGCTCTCCCTCCCTCCCTCCCTCCCTCCCTCTCTCAATGTTTTCAGCTGTTTTAAGTTAATGGCCTTTTATCATAATATTTTAAAATTAATTTTAAATACTGTATGCTAGGTCGCTTGTTTTGCATTGCAAGAAAAGCAAGGTATAAATGAGCTATAGAAATAAACAAACAAGCCAAGTCTTTCTACCTTAGGAAAAGCCAAGGTACTCCAAGCTCTAGCAGGAAAGGGGGTGCCCCCAACCTCCGGTTCCTCTTACCCTAGCCTCTCCTTGCTCTCTTCAGGAGTCAGTTGGTCGAAGGTCTTGGCTTCTTCAGCCCCTAGGAAGGCGTCATGGTCGTAGTCAAAATTCTGTCCATCATCATGGACCTTGTCACTTAGCTGTGGGTCGTGATGGACGCGGTCCTTCTTCTCGGTGGGCTTGCTCAGGACACACACGGTCCCCAGGAAGAGGTATACTACGATTTGCCGAATAGCCACAACCATGGTGACGCCCTTGGGGAAATTAACATAAGAGCAACCATGAGCCTGTTTTAACTCCAAGCAATTTCTCAAGAGGCTTCCAAGTGGAAATAAAAGTCATTACTGCACTAATAATTACTGCACTAAATGTGAGTCTACCAGAAACCACTCATCTTAATTAACAAGACATGATGGAGTTTGAAAACAGGACAGTAAATGTGGTGATATGATCTCTGGGACTTCTATTTCTTGATGCTCCAGAGACCTCCTTTAGAGACATATAACAGGAAGACAAGGTGCTGGTTAATGAGAAAGAATACAGAATGGAGAGCTGGTGGGAAAGAAGAATGCTAGTAAGGAAATAACAGAGAAGCAAAGGGCCTAGAAGAAAGGAACAGAGGTTGAGGGAAGGCCAGAGCAAAAGGTGACTCTTTCCCCCCAATTCTGGGTCCTCCTGTTCGTCATCTTTTCCAAGGGAAGGGAAGGGATCAAACCCTATAAAAACACAGACCCAACAACTACTGGAAAGTACATGGGATATAAAGTGATTTAGTGTTCCCTAACACATTTTACAAGTTGTTACAGCGCACAGCAACATGATGGCAGTTCCTTTGTTAAGCATATGAAATCCAAGTTGCAATACTAACAAAACTTGTTAGTTCTTCAGTATTAGTTGTTTTAACAAAACAACTAATACAGTACTGATGTTATGGCACCCTTACAGCCCCTCGGCCCTGATCATATCAAGCAAATAACTAGGTAATATTCCTCTGAAAATAACTCATGGGGAGGGGGCAAGGTATGTTGGGGGTGGAGGCAATGTTCCAAGTACTTTCCTGCAAACCACCCCGGTACTGATGCAACGCCTTCTTCTCCCAACATGGTGCAATCCGAGTAACATCAACTCTACTGTAAAGTGAGATGCGAACAAGATACAACATTTCTCTTCAGAAAAGGAGGATGAGGACCACAAGGTTGCCTCACTGAGTGCTGAAGATCCTGGGGGGGGGGGATTTTGGCTGCCACTCCTTCTAAGCATCCTTCTCCAAGGCACCATGGATGTTTAGTGTTTGCAGGGTGCCTGGCAGAGCAGAGCACTCTTCACAAGCTGGCAGGGCGTAGCTATGCAGCCAGTTGTGCACCTTCTTCCAGGCTTGTGTGGCAAAGTCTACCCCTCGCCACGAGGCTTCCTCTTGCTCCCTCTGTCCAAAAGGAGCCACTCTCACCTCTAACAAAAGGCTCCTGCAGCTGGAATGAGGAACCGATGCTGGGAAAAGGAATGGGGTGGCGGTGGTTCCTGCCCTTGCCCAAACTGCCATGGCCTGGGGGTGCAACAAAAAACAAAGCCAAACAAAGCCAAAGTACTGTGGCACCTTTAATATTTCCAGATTTCAGCATAATCTTTTATGGATTACACCACATGTATCTATTATGCCTGTTTTTAGTCTTAGAGGTACCTTAAGATTGTGTTTCTGTTTTGTATTATATTTTTATTACACGCACCTAACCACACCAATAAGGCCAGCTCTCTGAACATTGCTGCAAGAGTGACTGTGTTATTATTTTTAATCTGGCAGAGCCAGTGGACTTGTCTTTCTAGAAATCAAATCAGTCTGTTAGCCTGTTTCAACAAAAGCAAAGTATTGAGGCACCTTTAAGACTAACAAATTCATTTCTCTTAGAACTCCAGAGCTGGAAGGGACCCTGTGGATCATCAAGTCCAGCCCATCAAGGAGGCCGTGTGGGGAATCAACGGCTGGCTCTGCAGCCAGAGGCCTAAACCCCTGTGCTATCCAGCAGTTCAAAGACCTACAGTTACACCACTCTGGCTGATTTTGCAGTTCAGAAATCAGCATGTTTGTCTTTGCTTACAAAAACTAGAAAGGTGCAGGTTTGTGCCTTTTAACTGCAAAAAGCACAACATTGCAGCTGAGTGGGGGGATTCTGGGAGTGGCAGCCCAAAAACATAAGCCTGCACATCTCTAAAAAAAATAACCCACTCTTTCACGCTGACGATGCCATCAGATGAACCAGGGCCAAACTGAACACAGAATTGGTCTTTTGTGACATTTTCAAGACTAGCAAGGGTTTTTCCCCCTCTGCAGCGTCCTGTGCTTCCAAAGCATTGAGTCGAAGCATCGAAGCAACACATACACCAACTTTTGTTGTGGGAATGAGACAGAAACAAGGATAGAGAAAATAGCAGCATTATTAAGCACAAGCTGGCCGATAGCTCAGTGGTCTCAGTCTCTGGTTTTGGAGTCAGAGGTTGGGATGTTGAGAAGCCCAGAATTCCCCCTCATGTTGCAAGTGGACATCTGTACAAGAGCAGCCTTCTCGTGTGATGGCCAAATGTGCAGATGGTAGCTAAGCACTCCTACTTCAGACAATGAGGGCTGCAGGTCCACATTCCCACCCACTGCAAGTTTGTTCCAAGATGTGTGAGTAAACCTTCTTTCCTACTAGTATGGAGTGGTGGGATACTAAATTAACCCACTGTTCCTGTCAAGTCTGCCTGCCTACTCCAACAGACCATGGCTCACAAGATGATCAGTGATGCATTTTATACTGTTAAAGCAGTAAATTATATCTTGGGTTTGATTTTGTTTAAAAAAGAAAGCATTGCATGTAGTCTGGGCTTCTGTCCAAAATTCTATATTTGCCCCAGGAAGACAGAAAAGAAAGTTGGAACATTCCTGCGAAATTTACATCTGTACCAAGGATGCCTCTTACATGACTATGTTCAGAGGTTTATTTATTTCCTAGCCGCAGTCACCACTGAAGTGCAATGCTGAGGAACTTTGGGAGGAAATTTCTCCTTGCAGTTTTACTGGGTTTCACAAGGCTGTTGTGTGCCTCAAAAATACAAGCTGACTTCCAATCAATAAGAGATCCCATCTGTTCATTTATTAGATACACTGATTGTAATCCTACCCTGTGGGTAGGCCCACTGAATCAGTGGGAATATGGTGAGTCAACTCCTCCATAAATCTGACTAATCAAGTGGACCTTCTCTAGTCTCTTTCGAGACTGAAGGATGCCTAACTAACTAAGTGGAGCTTCTCTAGTTGCAACTTAATACGCCAAGCAACAAGACTTCAGCCTTGGATATCCTGCCTTTCCTCTAATGAGCTTAAGGTGGTTTACATGGATCTCCTCTCCTCCATTTTATCCAGTTTCATGAGGGAGACCATGCTAGGAGAAGGGATCATCTGGAAGATCACTCAAGTACTGTTTCATGGCTCAGTCAGCAACAGCACTTGAGTCTCCCAAATGCCATTCCAGCACTGAACTACAACACACAAGATCTCACTTGTATTGTGAGATCACACCGACTGGAAAAGCAAAAGGCTGGAGTTCTGCTTCCTGGATCAAGCAAGTTGGGGGAAGAGTGAAACAGAAGAGTCCCAGCCCAGGAAATCCTACGCTAGGATATGGGAGGTCACGTTTAGAATTGGTGCTCTCCCTTCTACCTAAATGTGAGCTATCTGTGCACAATCTCTCTGCTCACCAGCAGGGAACCCAACAAACTACCATCCACCGTGGGAAACCAATGTCACAGTTCATTTGGACCCACTGAGACAGGCAAGCATGGCAGGCAAACCTCTTCTGGATAACCTCCAGGAGTGCATGTTCCCAGATAGCTCTTGCTGCAGAGACACAGGAGGCCAAGCCTGGGTATAGAAGTTCACAACACTTTCCAACAAATTCCTCAAGTGCTCATTCTTCTAAATGATGTGCCTCCCAGGTTACCAAAGAGATACCCATGCTAGTGTCAGTGTGAGGGCAAAAGTGGAGGCTGGGTGGGTGGAAATTTTGGGGAACCTTCAAGACCAAAAGACTTATTTTCACTTGGGTTTCCATGCGTCAAAGCCCATCATCCTGCTACAGCATTACTCACATTTCATTTGCAATGACAGGAGGATTACGCAACTTGTAATAGATGTTCTTATATTTATATCAGACGTTTAGACTACTTCTTCTAGAACAGTCAGAAACACTGATAAGGACAATCTGAATGATTGTCCTAGTCTTCAAAAATAAAGTTGAAACATAACATTCAGGGACAGGATTTTACAAACAAGAAATGTGCAGCCAACATTTGATGGGATTCCCAAGAAGGTGATTAAGACGTATGACACTAATTTGATATGGGTTCTTCTGAAACGTATGTACAATATATATTCTACAAAATATTAAACACAAAAACAGAAATAAAAGCACTTGATTTTCATCATAACATACACAGGTTGAAAGATGCATCTTCTCCTGGTAGACAATTTGGTTTCACCTTGGCATGGAATCTTGCTTTTTTTCGGTTTTTAGAAAGTCAGAAGCAAAGAGGCTTGTTACTTGAGTTTTCCAGGCATCTTCTCCTCACAAGAGACTAATGGAAATATTCCAGACACTTCTACTGCTTATCAAGACTATTCAATGCCATTACCCACTCTTCAAATAAAAAGGGGGCTGAACCCTGCCTACTCCCATAAAAGGCACAAGCATCCTCAAATGCTTTCATAGATCCTATTTGGCCTTCTACACATCTCTGCAGTTTCCAGAAAATCAACCAGGGCTGCTCTTAATAGCCACGTTCTCTCGACCTTAGTTTGGAAACATTTCCCAAAAGTCAGACAGAACAAAGAGGACATGCATGTCCTTATCAGCAAGTTTTCTAATTCAACAGTGTTAAATGAATTCTCTACCTGGAAAGGAAAAGCTTTACCCTAGGGGAAAAGCGTGCTGAAAAAGGTCACTGTAAGTCAGAAGTAACCTGGGAGCACATTATCATAATCATCACCCCTACCATTACTGCTTGTGGCTTCTTTACTTAAATACCCTCCATGTAATTGTCTACAGTCTCTCCACCCTGCATGTACTAGATAAGATTTCACACATCTGATAGGAATCTTTAATAGGTTTGGTAGTTTCTGAAGTGCCAAAGGGAGCTTGTTTTAGAAATGACAGATTAACACAACTATCCATGTGCAAAGTACACAACCTCAGGCATTTTACAACTGCCCAGCCTGTCTGCT